AAGAAAGACAAATACCATATAATTTCACTTTTATGTGGAATCTAAAGAACAAAACACATGAATCAACAAGCAAGCAAAACACCAAATAGACTCTTAAATACAGAGAACAAACTTGTGGTTGCCACAGGGGAAGTGGGTAGGGGGATGGATGAACCAGGCGAAGGGGATTAAAAGGTACAAACTTCCAGTTATAAGTCATGGAGATGAAAAGGACAGCATAGAGAATAGAGTCAATAATACTATAATAACAATATATGGTGACAGTGACTACACTTATTGTGGTGAGCACTGAGATAGCGTTGTCAAATCAATATGCTGTACACCTGAAATTAACAAAACATTCTATGTTAATTCAGTTCAATAAAAAAAAAGAATCAAGGGTCAGAAAATTATGACAATAAAAACAAAATGGAGCCCCTGATCAATCAGGAAATAACCTGAGTACAACATTAAATAGCCCTGTTATATATGCGTAGGCACAAGAGACACAGCAATATGAGCTGGTGACAGAAGAGTTGGGTGGTCATTGCTGGCTGAAGATTATTAGGGAACCAAAGGCAGTCTGGAAGGTCTGCTGCCAGCTTTAGCCTATTCAGCATTTTTGTCAACACATGAATGAACCCCTGGGAGGAATGCTTATTAAATCTGTAGATCCTAAAGAAGGATCCTAGAAGAATTACAAATGAAGAGGATAAATAAGCTATACTCATGACCATAAGAGTCTCCTAGATATTTACTGCAGACAGACAAAAAGTTTCCATCTGGGTTTGAAAAATCAGCTACACAAAAACAGAAAGGCAGAGACTGGGATCCATACAAATTTGTACAAAAAAGACGTGGGTGAGTTAGCTGAGAAAAAGCACAATATGAATCAGAGCTAAATATGGTCCACAAAGGGACCCTCCCACACCACAGTCTATACTGCTAAGACCAAACTGCCAGTGTATACTTAACTCCTGCCTTATCTCAAATGGATTTGAGGTAGCATGTAAGGATATATGAAATATAACAAAGGAACATAAATTTAAAGATGTGAAAAGTAGAACAATGGCAGAGATATAGAATAAATCAGCTTAAAAAAGTACACTATAAAGACAAACATTAGGTCTGTTACCCAGGGTTCCTAAGATAAAAAGATCAATCATCTCTGAGGAAAAACAACTTCTCTTGGAAATAAGGCCAGACAGGAATTTCCCCCAAGAGGACCCACGAAGAGAACAGTTGAGTAACAACACACAGCACAGTTCCTTACATGAAATCCTCACAGTACACAACATAAAACATTTCATAGGGTTGTTACGTATTTTAAGTGCGGACATAGATCCATAGCATCACACCAAGGTAAAATCTAATGAAACAAAACTCTACAGGGCACCAATACATGATAGCCCAAGATCCCTGCAGATCAGGGGCTATTGTAAAAACAGAAGAATCACACAGTATGTGTTTCTTTGTGGCTGGCTTCTTTCACTTAGCATAATGTTTTGGAGGTTCATCCACTTCACAGCATGTATCAATATTACATTCCTTTTCATGGCTGAATAATAATCTGCTGTATGGTTATATTTGTTTATCCATTCATCAGGTGACAGACACTTGTTTTTGTTTTGTTTTGTTTTAAAGATTTTATTTATTTATTTGAGAGAGAGTGACAGAGATAGCAAGAAAGAGCATGAACAGGGAGGAGAGGGAGAAGCAGACTCCCCGCTGAGCAGGGAACCAAATGTGGGATCATGACCTGAGCCGAAGGCAGACACTTAACCGACTGAGCCACCCAGGCACCCCAGGTGATAAGACATTTGAATTGTTTCCACATTTTGACTATGATGAATAGTACTGCTATGCACATGCACTTACAAGTTTTGTGCAGACATATATTTCCATCTCTTTTGGATATATGCCTAGGAGTGGAATTGCTGGGTCATATGGTAAAATTCTACATTTAACCTTTTAAGAAACTACCAGACTGTTTTCTAAAGTGGTTATACTATATTACTCTTATTACGGTTTGAATTTACATTTCCTTCTAATTTAATTACATTTCCTTTACAGCACCTTTCACATGTCTATTGGCTATTTATATGTTTTCTTTTTTGTTTTTTTAAAGATTTTATTTATTTGAAAGAGAGACAGAGAGCACGAGCTGGGGGAGGGGTAGAGAGAGAGGGAGAAGCAGACTCCCTGCTGAGAAGGGAGCCCAACGCAGGGCTCGAGCTCAGGACCCCAAGATCATGACCTGAGCCAAAGGCAGACACTTAACCGACTAAGCCACCCAGGCGCCCCTATGTTTTCTTTTGTGAAGCATCTGTTCAAGTCTTTTGCTCATTGTTTAGGTTGTTCCTCTTTTTTTGTTGTTTTGTAGGAATACTTCAAATATTCTGGATACAATCTGCAATTGATCTATTCATTTTCTTAATGGTATCTTTTGATGAACAGAAATTTTTAATTTTGATTAAAGTTCAATGTATCAAAATTTTTTTTATGGTTAGTATTTTTGTTGCTCTGTCCAAGAAATCTTTACCTAACCCCAAAGTTGTGAAAATATTCTCTTATAGTTTATTCTGGAAGCTTTATGTTTCTGGGTTTTACATTTAAGTCCGTGATCCACGTAGAATTAATTTTTGTGTAAAGAGTAAGACAGAGGTTGAGGTTTGTTTTTTCGTATACATACATCCAGTTGTTCTAGCAACATTTGTAAAAAGACTCACCTTTTCCCACTGAATTAACTTAACATTGTGGTTGAAAATCCACTAGGTGTACATATGTGGGTCTATTTCTGGACTTTATTATCTTCCATTTATCTACTAGTCTACATTTTTTTTTTTTTTTTACTAGTCTACCTTTAACACCAATAACTGCACTGTCATGATTATTGTAACTTTGTAAGTCTTGAAATTAGATAGTTTAAGTCTTTCAACTTCATTCTTTCTCAAGATTTTTTTGGCCTTTTCAGATCCCTTTTTTTTTTTTTTAAGTAGGCCCCAAAGGGCGCCTGGGTGGCTCAGTTGTTAAGCGTCTGCCTTCGGCTCAGGTCATGATCCCAGGGTCCTGGGATCGAGCCCCACATCGGGCTCCCTGCTTCGCGGGAAGCCTGCTTCTCCCTCTCCCACTCCCCCTGCTGTGTTCCCTCTCTTGCTGTGTCTCTCTCTGTCAAATAAATAAAATAAAGTAGGCTCCATGCCCAGTGTGGAGCCCGACGTGGGGCTTGAACTCACAACCCTGAGATCAAGACCTGAGCTGAGCTCAAGAGTCGAACACTAAACCAACTGAGCTACCCAGGCACCCCTCCTACATCCTTTTCAAGAAGTTACTTTTTAAAAAAATTTCCCAAATACTTTTAAACAGCATTTTAAAATCTACTGTCCAAATTCTATAGTAGGACAATGACCTATACTGGTATTATGAAACTAAACACTAAAACTAAACACTGAAACCATCTAAGCATTAATGTATCTCCACTTCTCTCTACCCAAGGTACAGAGCTACTAGAGACCTTGTAACTATAGGCTTAAGACCAATCCATGTCATCAAGACAACTATAAGTAAGGTTCCAGAAAATACACAGGTATTGCTGACTGGTGCGCCCACCACTTACCCTGGTTCAATATGATCCGACAAGGCTGGCATTGACCCCCATGGCACAGCTCAGCACAGTGGTGCTGACCACAGTTCAAAAGATTTTCACATGGATTGGAACAGTGGACTGAGACAGCCTGACCACAGCGAACTGTGTGCCTGGAAAGAAAACAGATGTATACATAGCATTAGTCTGATGCTGGACAGTAAGTTCCTGTTGGATAGCTAAGCTAACAATGAAGCCCAAACTTAACCCTCCAGAACTATGAAACCTTTCTCTTCACCCCATTTCCGTCACTTTTCTGTTTACCCCCTCCAATCTTTATTTCCTTATTCTCCTCCTCACCACTTTTTCTTTTTTCCCCTGCTTTGCTTTCCTTATTTCCCATCCTGCTCTCTCTCTCCTATATTCTGACCAGTGAAGAAATGAAGTTCCTCTCTGTAGATTTCTTCACTGAGTTCCCATGAAGTAGCATGCAGGAGGGGACAGAGCTGGGAGCTCCCACAGTATCTTACAGATGGAGGCAGGAAAGTTTGGGGGTTGGGGGCCAGGGCAGGGAAGGTTAGTTATAACGTATATACTAAGAATGGAAGTACAATGGCATTCTCATGGGATCTGGTACTCCGGCATTTTATGCAGTTATAATACTTAAGAACATACTGTATGTCACTTTGATTCAGGATGGGAAAATCATTCTGGCTTTGTTCCAATAAGCATCTTAATTTTGCTGACTTATTGCCTAGAGAAGGATATGAAGTTAGTGCTTTTAGACAACTATCTTCAGGTCTCTTTCCGGTAATGGTTTAGAGCTTGGAGTCTACTCTCCTGCAAGAAGAGTTTTATTCTATCCCCTACTTTAATCTCAACTACATATTTTGTTTTAAAAAGTCACTGTTACATACACAGACAATCAGTTTCCAGTGCTCAGCATTATGGCTAACAGCAACCCCTGGAGCTGAACACTATTATTTCTTTTTTTTTTTTAAAGATTTTATTTATTTGAGAGACAGAGAGAGAGCACATGAGAGGGGGGAGGGTCAGAGGGAGAAGCAGACTCCCTGCTGAGCAGGGAGCCCGATGCGGGACTCAATCCTGGGACTCCAGGATCATGACCTGAGCCGAAGGCAGTTGCTTAACCAACTGAGCCACCCAGGCACCCTGAACACTATTATTTCTATTTTATGATAAGAAAAATGAGGCTCAGTGTGACCAAGCAACTTGCCCAGGTCAACAACTAATTAGTGGCAGAGCCCAGATCTGACCTGGTCTTTCTGACCCAGAGCCCTTACATGTGACTCTCAGGCCACACCACTGTCCTTGTAAGTTCAGACAAATGTGATTCACTGAAAACTGGCTCAATCCCATTTTGTCCTGTGGTTCAAAAATCATTTGGGTCTTACTGAGCCTCAGAAACATTTCATAACTAACAATGATCCTTGCCCTGATGACGGAGAACTTGTATTATAATGAAAAGAGGATGGGCTCTGGGGTCACTTATTTTTTCATTTAACAATACTCATTGAAAAAAAAAAAAAACAATATTCATTGAAAACCTCCTAGGTGCCAGATATAATGCTAGGTATAGGTAAATGGTCCCTGTCTCCTGAACCTTAACAGGCCTGGGTTTAATCCTGATTCTTTCACCCACAGACAGGTTAAGAAAAAAGTCCCTGTCATCTTGGCATTCAGCTGAAATGGATAATCTCACCATGCAAATAACTTCTTAATCACTTATAAGACTGCAAAACAGGATCAGGGCAGCAGAGTCAACTACTATTTACAAAAAAGTACTATTTAGGGGCACCTGGGTTGGCTCAGATGGTTGGGCGTCTGCCTTCAGCTCGGGTCATGATCTACAGGTCCTGGGATCGAGCCCCATTCGGGCTCACAGCTCAGTGGAGAGTCTGCTTCTCCCTCTCCCTCTGCCTCTCCCCGTTTGTGCTTTCTCTCTCAAGTGAATAAATAAAATCTTAAAAAAAAAAAATACTATTTATGCCTACCACTTATTTCTATCTACTCACTAATTCTTACTTTAGAAATTCACACATAAATCATCAAAGTGGACACTGAAGTCTTTAGAGAGCAGTTCTAACTTTACCTGGTCCGTCCACATTCACATGTTTTAGTCATGAAGGCAGGGCAGGGTGGGCAAGGTCCAGGATGGCAGAGACTAAAAGAGAAAGGCTTAGATGAATAAATGATACTCATGTATCCAAACCTGAACAAAGTTGCTCCTACTGGGTTTTATTGTGAATGTGCCAACAAATAAACCTACTATGAAATGTTTTAGTATTTGCCTAATGTTGATTAAACTGTTTAAACAAAAATACCAACAATGTTTTCATATAGAATTTATGGCATTATCATCTTAGAATACTTAACCAGAAAAGTAAAGCCCAAGTCAAAATACTGGTTTTCTTTGGTTCTGACAAAGATAACGTTTCCAAATATGGTCTTAGCCCACTTAGTGAGATGTTTTAGGGCCTCCTTTCCTTCAGATGTGATGCTGACCACCTAATCTGCATCACTTCTGATGTTCTCTGGTAGTCATGACAGGGGGCCATTTCTGCTAAAGACTTCAGAAAGATAGTTCATGCAGAGGGTTAATTTATTATTAAATTTACTTAAAATGCCTACTGAGGGAAGGAACAGTTTAAAAACAGATGAGTCAGGCGCCTGGGTGGCTCAGTTGGTTAAGCGACTGCCTTCGGCTCAGGTCATGATCCTGGAGTCCCGGGATCGAGTCCTGCATCGGGCTCCCTGCTCAGC